CGGAGCAAGCTCGGCCTGCGTCGTGCAAGCGCTGGCAGCCGGAACGGTTTAGAGAAATGTATATATTGATTAATGAGGGTGCTTTTACATTTGCTTTTTGCTCATTGTTCCTTGCAGTGGGGGACTCCTCGTATCCCTCCCGGCAGCCAGACGTGGAACAAAGAGACGCTGGGGGTTTTTTTATATCTTTGAGATGAGCTCATGCCTGAAAGAACATGCACTTTAAATAAACGGCCCTTTTCTTCCCTTACCAGCCTTGGCAATCAGAGCCAGCATACAGGTTTATTGGATTTTTAAAAAAAAAAGAAAAAGAAAAATAAGACATTGTTATAAGGGAGGGGGACTAAACCGTCAAGCATTAAGTTAAATTGAGCTGAGCTTGGCTTCCCGCTGTTAATCGTGTGGACCTTGGGAATGGTAAAGTTATTGGTAGATGCAGTTCTGGAGAGCATCGTTTCAGGGGTTTAGCGCGTTTGCTAACGATGGATGGTGGAGCTTTTCTTCCAGTGAGGACCCTGGGAGTGGAAGTGGACTGATACCTCATTTTAAGAGCTTTCTCAGGCCTTTGAGAGAGAGGTTGATGTAGATGAGTCACAAGAAAAACATGCAGTAATCTGCATTTTCAGCCAGATTTTCAGTGTGCCGCAGGATGCTTCTGCTGAGTTTTGTGCGGTCTCTGCGCAGGCAGGAGGGTCCCGTGGACGGGCTGGGGGGAGAGCTTGGGCTCGGCTCTGATTTCTTTCCTTTCTTTGGACGTTTCCTTTCTGCAGGCTTTTTCCATCGACATTATTCGGCACAAAGACTCCATGGATGAACTGTTCAGCCAGCGCAATGAGATCTTTGGGACGTGTGGCGAGGAACAGAAAGCTGTGCTCCAGGTGAGCCTCCCTCTGCTATTTACTGCGACGGGAGAGACAGAGAGGGGAGAGAGGCTAATGCTCAGCTCTTGCACAGACTGAAGTAGTTTAAAATTACTCCATCTTTAGTAATTCCCACCGGCGTTAGCAGAAATCTCTCTACATTTATTACTCTCCTTTATTGCATATTTTTATTGCAGTGTTTGGGGATGGGGGGGGATAGCGGAGATTTCTGAGGCTGCTTTAATTGGAATTACAGCTTGCGCGCGTGGAAAGCCACCAAAGGCACCTCCTGCTCTTCCAGCTCGCAGCGTGCAGCTGGCACTTCTCGTGGGCCCTTTTGCATCCCTCGCTGTAACTCTCCTCCCTCTTTTTTTTTTTTTTTTAGGATAAAACAGAGTCCCTGGTGCAACAGTACGAAGCCGTGAGCCAGCTCAACTCGGAGCGCTACGCTCGCTTGGAGCGTGCCCAGGTTCTGGTCAACCAGTTCTGGGAGACCTATGAGGAGCTGAACCCGTGGATCGAGGAGACGCAAGCCCTCATCTCCCAGCTGCCCCCTCCGGCCATCGATCACGAGCAGCTCAAGCAGCAGCAGGAGGACATGAGGGTAAGAGGACGCGGCGTTTGCATCTCCTGCGCCGTCGGTTCTTCTGCCTTAAACACAGGCACAGTGCTCGCAGGGGCGAGAGTGCCTTTTTTCTGAAGTTTTCTGATATTTTTCCCCATTCTCTTCTTTTTGGGAATCCTGCCTATGTCATACAAGTGTGCCCTGAGCATACAATGTGGAAATCACTAGTTACGTTGGAGCGCTTCATACTAAAATACAGATTGCGCCCAAGAGAGCCTGGCTGCCTTCGGATCCCCTGCCTGATTGCGGCAGGGAGAACCGCTTTGTGCTTTTAGGGTAGAGAGCTGCAAAGTGAGTTTTCTCAGCGGTGTCCCCCCGTGGGGCTGTGGGGAGGGTCAGGAGCCGGCCATGCTGGGGAAGGAGCCGTGCCAGGCGGCGTGCCGGCGCGTGCCGAGCCGTAGCCATGTTAGGAAGAGCCGAGTGCCATGTGCTTGGCAGATGCTGGCTCAAGAAATCCACAGTGCGAGTTCACTACCAGATACGATCGCTGCTCTTGGAGTGTTGCGTGAAATAAACAGGCAGCGGCTTTCAATAGATTTCTAAACAAATGTATTTTTTTCCCCTCTATTTCCTAGCAACTGCGAGAGTCCATTGCTGAACATAAGCCTCATATTGACAAGCTGCTGAAAATCGGACCACAGCTCAAGGATCTCAACCCCGAGGAAGGGGAGATGGTGCAGAAAAAATACTCGATGGCTGAGGCCATGTATGCCAAAATCAAGGAGGAGGTGTGTCAGCGGGCTCTTGCGCTCGACGAAGCTGTCTCGCAGTCCACCCAGGTACGCTGGCGCGCAAAGGAGCAGAGTCGTCTTATCACAGACCCCTGGGGAAGCCGCGTGCTTTGAAATGCGGTTTTATTCTGAGTGTTACGATTGTGTAAAACCCTTTATAAGTCACAGCGTGGTCAGACACCTCCAGGGTAGTTTCCTGCCCCTCAGCCCTGGCTGCGAAAGCAGTGGAGACGGCGTTTGAATCTTGACATAGTAAATAGGGTAATAAATTTTTACGGCCTCAATAATGATGCTCGTTCAAAGGGGCTGTTTTGGCATCCACCCAAGGTTGGAAGGGCCCGGAGGGCCTCTTGAAGGAGCTTAGAGAGATAAGTTTGATTTCTGATAAGCTGTGTGCGCAGTGAACGGCCATGGGACCCTTTGTATGGGAGAGTTGATGGTCGTCTCCAGGGTCTGGGCATCTCCAGAGGAGCTCAGTGACTGCAGGAGCAGAGATAGGAAAGGAAAGGCGGAGAGCGTAGGTGCTAAAGTCCAGAAAGGGGGCGAAGAGTTTCTACCGCTGAGGGTTTATGACCCCTAGTTATGTTTCATTTCACCACATGTTACTGTAGCACAGTAGGTTTTTGTCGTGTCTGGGTGTTTATTTTTTTTTATTCCTGTATTGTGTAGTCACTTCTCTTGGTTTGCACTTGTATTAACTCCGAGTTTTTCCCCCCACACCCCCCTCCCGTCTCATCTCTCACTCCCATTGTGGAATGTGTTATCTGTGTGTGTTGCTGCCTGTGCCCGTCCTCCCCACATGGTCCCATTTCATTCTTGTGTTGACTGCGCCCCACCATTGCAGATTACGGAGGTAAGCCCCGCCACCACAGACGTTCATTAAAATTGGGCCGATTCTATTTTACACCCAGACTTTTATTTCTGGTCCGTGCACAGCTCAGCAGAACATGCTTAAAAATTAACTCTGGGGGCCTGAAATCACGTTTCTGAGATGGCTTTTGTTGCATCGCCACCTGGTCTCTGCCGTGGGCAGCTGCCGCTGGGAGTGCTTCCCGCAAAGCAGAGGTTTCGCTTTCAGAGCGGTTTACACTGATGCGCAGAGCTTTTCGCTCTAGCTGGACTTGCCGGTTTGCTCCTGCTTGTTGGCTGAGCCCGCGTGCTCCTGATCAACTTTGCACCCAGAGCCCGTCTCCTCTCTGCTGTTAGAGCCTGGGACTTGGGGACCGCCTGCAGAGAAGGACCCGAGCTGGCAGCCAGAGTGCAGAGCCGTCCTCCTCACCAGCAGAGAGGGAGTTTGGGATCTTTAAGGCCAAAGCTGACTTTTCTTTTTTAAAAAAATAACAATAAACCCTGCTAGACCCCCTTCCTCTCTCACTCTTGGCTTTCTGGTTCTGCTTTTGTTGAAGCCCCAGCTCCTGGCACCTCGCTCCTCCCCATGCGCATGCAGCCTTCCACCATCTCCCGCTGACCCTGCCGGGACGGTTTTCTTGCTGATCTTGCACCGAGCGGAGATTTCCGTCAGCACCAAACACGGGCGCTTTTCCAGCAGCATCTTTGCGCAGATACTCAAGCAAACAGGATTGGGTTTTCTTGCCACGCTGCCCATCCGCAAGAAGCGGGAGAGTGGTCAAAAATGTGAATTTTGTACAGTTGAATCCGGTGACAAATCGCTGCCGTGTTTGGTTCACAGTTGCCCGTGCCGGCGCTGTGAGGCTGTACGGCTGACGTATGGTTTGAGCCGGTGCAGCCTGGGGCTGTTGGCAGCAGAGGAAAGCAGAGGCAGGCGTGAACAGGAGGCTGCAGGTTTAATTGCTGTTGCAGGCAATGTTTGTCCTCTCCGAGAGGCCGCTGGGCGCAGCGCTAAGGGCTGTTGCACACGCAGGGAGAGATGCGACGTTGCTTAATCTCGTCTTGCCTGCCCTAATGGACTTGTTCTTCTCCAGTTCCACGATAAGATCGAGCCCATGCTGGAGACGCTGGAGACCCTCTCCTCCCGCCTGCGCATGCCACCCCTCATCCCCGCTGAGGTCGATAAGATCCGGGAGTGCATTAGCGAGAACAAGAACGCCACCGTGGAGCTGGAGAAGCTGCAGCCCTCCTTTGAGGCTTTGAAACGCCGCGGGGAAGAGCTGATCGGCCGATCGCAGGGAGCGGATAAGGACCTGGCAGCAAAAGGTATCTCCAAGGAGGTTTTGGCTGGGCTGGTAGCACTGCCCGACTTCTCCTACCCAAACCGTGGCTCCATCGCTGTTAGGGAGGCTCCGATGTCCCAGGGGTTTATTTTAGAGGGTCTCTTGGCCTTAGGAGGAAGGATGAGTTCTCTGCGTGCAGATATCTGGTACCTGCTTCCATGTGGAGCAGACAGGGTGGTATCAGCCGGAGGAGAAAGAAGTATTTGTGGCTGCTCAGGCAGAGCTGAGCCGTCAGCCTGAGCTGGTCTCTTGTGGCAACCGTTGGTGGCCCTCTGTGAAATGATTTGTTGGTGTCGATTCAGCATCTAATGGAGGGAAGGAACATCCCCAGCACAAAAAGACCTGTCAACACGATTGGCACTAATTGGCACCTTTCTTGGCAGCTCAACAGCCAGCTCATGGACTGAGCGAGCGTAGACTTCACGCTAGAGGTGGTCAGAACAGAGGTTCGTTGGAGGGGAGAGTGTGTGGGCAAATTTGCCCTGAGCTTGCCTGCACATAAATAAAGGCTTTATTTCTGCAAGCTGGAGTTTCTCATGTCCCTCAGCATCTCTGAGTTAATGCTCTGATAGTCCTGGTCATCTTTAATTCCCATTTGAATATTCCGTTGGCTATTTCTCAGTGGAAAGTGTTTGCAAAATGCTTTGGAGTTGTACAAAGGTTTCCTCCTTCACTGAATGTTTTCATTCCCTTCCATAGTAATCCATGATAAGTTGGATCAGATGGTCTTCTTCTGGGAAGACATCAAAGCTCGGGCGGAGGAACGTGAAATGAAGTTCCTTGATGTCCTGGAGCTCGCAGAGAAGTTCTGGTACGACATGGCAGCCCTCCTGACTACCATCAAAGACACGCAGGACATTGTTCACGACCTGGAGAGCCCAGGCATCGACCCCTCCATCATCAAGCAGCAGGTGGAAGCGGCAGAGGTGAGGACCATGGGACGGTACCCCTGTGTGGAACTGGTCTGCACCCAGCTTGTGAGCTAAATCGGGACAGATCTTAGATATGAGCATGGCCAGAAGTGGTTGTAAAACAGTTTTGTAGGCAGTTTCAGATTATGAAATGTTATTTCCACTGCAATTTGGAACTGCAAGTTAAAAACCAGAAGTGTATTTCACGTATCCCTCCCCACCACCCCCACCCCCTGTTCCAGACAAGGAAATGATACTTAAATCACTTTATCTGCTGCTGTTTTGGGAAGCTCATCAAGTGTGTGGTCAGATTTGTGTGCCCACTTGTTTTGAGTGATGTGGAAGTTTGCACGGTTCTGCTCCCAGCCTCAGAAGAGGCATCTGAGTGCTGTCTAGCGTGGGAAGTGTATATTTAGATTTTGGTTAGACCGGAGATAAGTGTAAAGCTGGATGGGCTTGGATTTTATGTTATCGTTTGGTTGTTTCATAGAAGTGGTGAAATCCACTTCAGGTGGATTTGACTTGACTTGGACCTCGGGCAGAAGGGATGTTTCTTTGTGCTTCGCTAAGTTTGTTGTTGCTATTTCCTTTTTATAACCATTCTGACTTTGGTTTGCAAGTTTTGAGTCTCAAAACCTAATCCCTGTGTTGACAAAATACTCCTGTAAACAGTCAATCTCTTGCAAACAACATCTTCAGCCAGGCAGTGAGGCACACATCAAGCTAAATACAGATATTCTTATTTTAGTTCCCCCAAACGGCAGCATTGCCGCTGTGGCCAGAGGTGGGAGCCGACCAGGTTGGTGGTGGCAATGTTGGGGAGCGGTTTAGCCCTCTTGTTCGTGGAACAGTTTTGGGAGAACATTTAATAATAACCATTTGTGTTTTGTCACTGTGTTACATGCAGACTATTAAAGAGGAGACGGACGGCTTACATGAAGAGCTGGAGTTCATCCGACTCCTTGGAACTGATTTAATTTTTGCCTGTGGCGAAACTGAGAAACCAGAAGTGAAAAAGAGCATTGATGAGGTAGGAAAACCAGCAGCCCCTCCTTCGGATAAAATCAGGTAGGAGCCAGTGGCAGCTCCAGTAGAAGAGCCTAACGAATTTTGTGGGCAATCTTGTGTTCCGCAGATGAACAACGCGTGGGAAAATCTAAACAAAACGTGGAAGGAGAGGCTTGAAAAGCTTGAAGAGGCCATGCAGTCGGCTGTGCAATACCAAGATACGCTTCAAGTAAGAGGCAGGGCTGCTTGCGTGGGTTGGGTAGACCTTGGGAACGCCACTGTGAGTCCTCTCCGTGGAGCTGTACTGGGATTTGCACTAATGCAAAGCAGAAAACTTCTCCTGGGCAAGTGTTTGCAGCCTCTGTTAGAGCCTGAGCTCAACAGCCGGCTCCGAGGAAGAGCAGATATTTAATTGCGCTCGTCTTCCCAAATCTCTCTTCACTTCTGCACGAAGCAGCAGGATGAGCCTGGCTGCCCGAAAGAGCTTGCAGAAGGGAGTGCTGGCCAAGCAGGCATCTCGGCCCCGAAAGACAAGTTTCCTGGTTGCGGGGTGATGCAGACACCTGCCCCGCGTCCCCGATCAGCTGCAGGGAGAACGCTGCTTGGCGTTCCCTTTGCTAACGGTGTCTGCACTCGTTTCAGGCCATGTTTGACTGGCTGGATAACGCCGTGATCAAACTCTGCAACATGTCTCCCGTCGGCACGGACCTCAACACGGTGAAGGAGCAAATGAACGAGATGAAGGTACGCGGGCGGAGTGGGACCAGTTCTCCAGCGCTTGCTTTGCGTGGCAGAGCTTGCGCTCCAATGATTCATTTTGTTCTGGTTTTTGTCCTGCTTGTTTTGGCAGGAGTTTAAAATGGAGGTTTACCAGCAGCAGATTGAAATGGAAAAGCTTAATCACCAAGGTGAACTGATGCTAAAAAAAGCTACAGATGAGACAGACAGAGACATCATAAAGGAACCACTGACAGAGCTGAAGCACCTCTGGGAGAATTTGGGCGAGAAAATTGCTCACAGACAGGTAGAGAGAAGATCTGGGCTCTCAAAAGTGCAGGGTTGAAGGTCGCTGGGATGCTCCCCCTCCTTCCCAACTCAAATTTTCCTTTTCCCATCCCTGTCCTTGCCCAGCATAAGTTAGAAGCCGCTCTTCTGGCACTTGGCCAGTTCCAGCACGCGTTGGCGGAGCTGATGGCCTGGCTGACCCACACCGAGGAGCTGCTCGACGCACAAAAACCCATCAATGGAGACCCAAAAGTCATTGAGGTTGAACTCGCGAAGCACCATGTGAGTACTCCCACTCCAGGTCTGTTTTTAGTCTATTCCCGTTGCGGGATTTTATTTCTCATGAAGGTTTTGAGCTGGTTCGAGTCCATGAGAGCGTGCAGGCACTAACAGGGTGTTTTAGAGGCACCCAATGTTTACCCACCACGTCTCGTGTAGGTGCTGAAGAACGACGTCCTGGCCCACCAAGCGACCGTGGAGACGGTGAACAAAGCGGGCAACGAGCTCCTGGAGTCGAGCGCAGGGGATGACGCGAGCAGCCTGCGAAACCGCCTGGAGAAGCTGAATTCTTGCTGGGAGTCGGTGCTGCAGAAGACGGAGGAGAGGGAGCAGCAGCTGCAGTCCACGCTCCAGCAGGTCGGGGAGACGTGTCAGGGGTACCCCCCTGTGCCGCGGAGAGCTGCCGAGGGTCCGCTTCCCCCTTCGCTTTGCGGGGAAATGAAGGGGGAAGGAGTTAGACACACTGGGATTTTTTATTTTTTTTTAATGCAAGTTTTTCATTTAACTCTCAGTCCTGGAGTGTTTCGGTGCCTGGCCGGGGCACAGTGGGGTCCAGGCACAACCCGTGTGGTTGAGGAGGTACCATGTGTAACCTTCCTTAACGCACTGGTGCACCCGGCTCTGCATCTTTATCTGGTTCGGAAGCAAACGCAGCGTTAACTCTGGCGCATGATCAATGGTGGCTGATGTCATCTGATCCGCGGCTGATTATGTGTTCCCGAACAGGCCCAGGGTTTCCATGGTGAGATTGAAGACTTCCTCCTGTGGCTAACGAGGATGGAGAGCCAATTGTCGGCATCAAAACCCACAGGAGGTCTGCCAGAAACTGCCCGGGAGCAACTCAATGCCCACATGGTAATTTCTTAGGAGAGGTTTTTAATGCTTTTAATCCAGCAAGCTCCTGTCTGTCAAACATCAGCATCCAAACTTCTCCCTTCTATGCCTGATGGGAAGAAGAGTGCTTCTCTGGTCTCTTCTCACAGATAATTTTGCACTTGATGCCTGGGACAAGCATCAAGATGCTTTAACCACCTTTCTCTGCTCAAAGTGACATGCTGCTGTTGCTTTTCTGCCTGCCCTGAACCTCATTTTCTCGTCACCTTGATTCGCAGCGAGACCTGGCCCTTCTCTGAGCTCTTCCTTTGTCTAACGCTCTGGTGATGCCTCCCTTGCAGGAGCTGTACAGCCAGCTCAAAGCCAAGGAGGACCTCTACAGTCAGCTGCTGGCCAAGGGGCGACTGATGCTGCTTAACCGCGACGACTCTGGCTCTGGCTCAAAGACGGAGCAGAGCGTAGCGCTGCTGGAGCAGAAATGGTGTCTGGTCAGCACCAAGATGGAAGAGAGAAAGGTAGAGTTGGTGTCCACCCTTGCTCCACGAGCGGGTCCGACAGCAGTTGCTCCCTGCTTTGCTGTTCTGCTTTCCTAGGAGGGATGGAGCCGGTCAGGGCTGGGGGTTTTGGGGTTTTTTTTGACAACCTCTCTCTTTGTTGCACAGGTTGAGTTTGTCTTTCAGGTGGTGCTGTCTCAGAGCATCAAGCTGTTAGATTTTTTTTCTAGATAGTCGTCAGAGTTGGTTAAATTGCACAGAAAATGAGAGTAAAATTGCTTTTTGGGTTAATTTAGAGGAGGGGTGGGAAGAAGGCTCCCGCGGCTCTGAAAGGCAGGCTTTGTTGGTCCTCTGTGAGACATCAGGCCAAGTCCTCCTCCGAGCTGACTCCATCCTAGGCTTTTGGCCGGTGATGAGATAAAACAAGGGATGCGGTGGCTTCAGCCCAGAATAAATTTGCGGTGCTGCAGCTGTTGCCGTCGAAATATCACCCACCTCATTTACCGAGCCGCTCTCCCCATGGCGATCCCTTTCTCGGGAAGCTGAGGGTGACGCAGCTGCTCGTGTGCTGATTAAGGTCTCCCTTTTCACGGGCGCTTCTTGTTTTGAAAGGAAGCGGTGGCTTTCACCAAAACCCCCTCCCCTTGGTAAACAAGTCGCGTTCCCAGGCTGAAGCGACGAGGTTCCTGTTGGAGGGGCATTTCGGCAGGGACACAAAGGCTGCCTCTGTCTGCGAAACTGCAGATCGTGAGCTCTCACCCTCTGTGTTGTGTTTTGGTGTCCCGTTCCCCCCTGCTTTCTCCCTCCCTCCCCGCTGCGGCAGGCGAAGCTGGAGGAAGCGCTGGCCCTGGCCACGGACTTCCAGAACTCCCTCCAGGACTTCATCAACTGGCTCACGCTGGCCGAGCAGAGCCTGAACATCGCACCCCCGGCCAGCCTCATCCTCGCCGCCGTGCTGGCCCAGATTGACGAGCACAAGGTACCGGCACCATCAGCACCCAACGGCTCCCCGGGATGGAGGGAACAAGGGTGGCACCTCATCTTCCCTGCGCCCACGGGCTGCTCGCAGGCACGTCCAGCTCCCTTATAGCTAAGAGGATATCTTTGCCGTTTGCAGGTGTTCGCCAACGAGGTGAATGCTCATCGGGACCGCATCATCGAGCTGGATCAAACAGGGAACCAGCTGAAGTTTCTCAGTCAAAAGCAGGACGTGGTGTTGATCAAGAACCTGCTGGTGAGCGTCCAGTCCCGCTGGGAGAAGGTCGTCCAGCGCTCGGTGGAGCGGGGAAGGGCTCTTGATGATGCCAGGAAGCGAGCGAAGCAGGTGAGAAACGCGGGAAGGGTGCGACAGACCCCTAAGTATGGCCAACCATGGAGGACAGGAGGTCCTAAGACCACAAAGGGACTGGGGGCACCACCAGTGTTAAGTTTCAGACTTGCTCCTGTTTCTTTGCAGTTCCACGAAGCTTGGAAGAAACTGATTGATTGGCTGGAGGACGCAGAGAATCACCTGGACTCGGAGCTGGAGATTTCCAATGATCCTGATAAAATCAAGCTCCAGCTCTCGAAACACAAGGTAGAGCTTTGCCAGAGCGAGACCGGTGCTGGACACTGGGTGGAAGGGGGCTTTGTCCGGAGGGGGAGCAGGGCAGCACCTCCTCTGCCATCAGGACAGGGGAAAGGCATGTCCACGCTTACCGCTGCCATGGGAAATGTTCAGCTGGGGACCTTCACAAGCACCGTGTATCTTCAGAAAGCCAAAGCCAGGCTTTCTGAAACAGTTCTGTTTTCTCTCCGGTTCCCAGGAGTTCCAGAAGACGCTGGGAGGGAAGCAGCCCGTCTACGACACCACCATCAGAACAGGCAGAGCCCTCAAAGAAAAAGCCTTGCTTCCAGATGACACTCAAAAGCTGGACAATTTACTGGGAGAAGTCCGGGATAAGTGGGACACAGTGTGCGGCAAATCTGTGGAAAGGTAAGCCCAGCCCCAACGTTGTACCAACTGCGCTTGTTTGCCGAGGACTCATCAAAGTGGAGAGCAGAGGAGGGGAGGTGATTTCGTGGGGTGGCTGGAGGAAGTCACTGGGATACGACGAAAGAAGGTGAGTTTGTTCATGGAAGTTCACGGGGATGTTTGTTTTTCAGGCAGCACAAGCTGGAAGAAGCCCTCTTGTTCTCTGGCCAGTTCATGGATGCGCTGCAGGCCTTGGTGGACTGGCTCTACAAGGTGGAACCCCAGTTAGCTGAAGACCAGCCTGTCCATGGTGACCTGGATCTGGTCATGAACCTGATGGATGCTCACAAGGTGAGAGCGCCTTTTCCAGCTCTTCTCTGGGACATGAGTAGGGTTTGTCTTCCCCAAGAGCCAAAGAACGGAGGAGCCAGAGTTGGCGCGTTGCTGCAGAGCTGCGTGTCTCACTGTTTTGCTTTGCTGTGGTGGACAAGGAGGGCAAAACCAAGGGGAATGAGTGGGAAGAAACTTTCCCGTAGGTTACAGGAGCTGGAGCTCTGTTCTTCTGAGATGCTATCAGTCAGATCTGTTGAGGGTTTAGTTTTGAAAAGGTGACTGAATTTATAGTCCTCTATAAACTTTGGTCTTGGCAGTTCTCTCCAGCGTGTCTTGGAGACTGGCGCTCCGGGGTTTGGATTAGGTCCTATGTTGAAATCCACAAACAGGGCTTGGACGTCTGTTCAGGGCAGCCGTTGCATTGCCGCTGGAACTCCTGGGCTAGAGCTTGCCTGCTCCAGGTCACAACTGCTTCTGCCAGGGTGGAAAGTTGGGGCTCCTGCCCACGTGCACTTATGCCAAAACACTCTCAGGAGCTGCCTGCACTGCCTAGCTCCCTGCCTGCCTGCTCTCCCGTCACACCGGTTGTGGTGGATCCCTGATGTGGGTGCAAAACCCACGTTACGAACTATTTCAGATGTGCCCCCTGCTTCATTCCCCACGTGAAACAACCCGCTGGGTTCTGTCCTCTCTCCCTCCAGGTCTTCCAGAAGGAGCTGGGGAAGCGCACGGGGACGGTGCAGGTGCTCAAACGCTCCGGCCGGGAGCTCATCGAGAACAGCCGGGATGACACAACCTGGGTGAAGGTGCAGCTGCAGGAGCTGAGCAACCGATGGGACACGGTGTGCAAGCTGTCCGTGTCCAAACAAACCCGTCTGGAACAGGCCTTGAAGCAGGTGAGCAGAAGGCTAAGGGTGGAAGCAGTCTTGGAGAGCTTCCTTGGGGCTACAGGTTTGTGCCAAGAGGTCAACACACATCAGCAAAGGGACTGGTCTCCCGGCCGAGCAGGACACCCCAGCCCTGCAGGAGTTACCAGTGAGAACTGCAAACCAGTGGCTTGGTGTCAGTTATTTACTTATTCTTTTCCCCCAAGAAGAGCTGATAAAGGCTGATTTGAAAAAAGAGGATGAAAAGATCTCACTGATGTGCACAGTGGGAACAGAGCGGTGGTCAGACTGTCCAGGCTGGTGTTTGCTAATGTCCAGTGCAAGACAGAGACCTAGCTTGGAGCTTTAAAAAAAAAAAACACAGGTCGAAAGGCTCTTAAGTAGGATTTATGTCAAGTAGTCAATTTACAGAATAAACTACCCAGGTGCCAAACTGGTCAGAACACAGGTAGTTGTGCTGTTTTAATAAACATCTAGTTCTATAGTGCTGCTAACGCCGAAGGGGAGGTGCCTGGCCGCTGTGGGACCTGTCTGCTGGCGCTGCCCAAACCCAGGCCCACAGACAGGCCTTATTTCCCCTTTTTTTATTTGCTTTTTGAAGTCCCTTTCAGCCCTTTGTCTCTGCAGCTCTCAGCAGTGAATTGAGCGGCCCGTTTCAGGAGGAGGAGGGCTAACGTCTGTGCTTTTGTCGCCGCAGGCAGAGGAGTTCCGGACGGCCGTGCACATGCTGCTGGAGTGGCTCTCGGAGGCAGAGCAGTCCCTGCGCTTTCGGGGAGCGCTTCCCGACGACGCCGAAGCGTTGCAGTCCCTCATTGACGCACACAAGGTAGTGGGGGAGCTCTGAAACGCAACCCGAGCAAAATTTGTGGGGGAGAATATTGCAAAATAATTCATTTGGGCCTTTCAGGAGTTCATGAAGAAAGTGGAGGAGAAGAGAGTGGACGTGAACGCGGCAGTGGGCATGGGGGAGGTCATCCTGGCCGCCTGCCATCCCGACTGCATCACCACGATCAAACACTGGATCACCATCATCCGAGCCAGGTTCGAGGAGGTGAGTCCACCAGGCTTTGTTCCAGGCTGATGGTGAGAGGCGGTGGTGGACGCCACTGCCAAGGATGGCCATCGTTGCACATGGGTGTTGATTCCTGCCCCTGGTTTCCCACCCCGGGCTGATGGTCGTCTCTGTGTTTCCGACAGGTTCTCACGTGGGCGAAGCAGCACCAGCAGAGACTGGAGTCTGCACTTTCCGAGCTGGTGGCGAACGCAGAGCTTCTGGAAGAGCTCCTGGCTTGGATCCAGTGGGCTGAGACAACCCTGATCCAGCGGGACCAGGAGCCCACGCCACAAAATATCGATCAGGTCAAAGCCCTCATCTCCGAACACCAGGTGAGCCCAGTGCCGAGCACAGCAGGCGGTCAGAAGAGGCACGGGGCGGGGGTTTATTCCTGCCCCTCCATGGAGGAGGCATTGTCTTCTCTGGAAGTCCCTATTAAACCCGACCAGAGCTGTCACCTGGGGGCAAGGGGACGAACTCCGGCGTTTGCAGATCTGAGCCCGCGCTGTGCAATAAGCTTGATCACTGGTGATGCGGGTTTGTGGTCAGTGTTCCCATCTCCTCCTTGGGTTTTCCATGTCCCAGCAAGGATCCGGAGTGACAGCAGCTGGAGACTGAAAACATCTCAAAAATGCAAAGGTTCTCCTGTCCCTTCTGTGTTTTGACAGTCCTTTATGGAGGAGATGACACGGAAACAGCCAGACGTGGACCGGGTCACGAAGACGTACAAGAGGAAAGCTACGGAGCCCCCCCACGGACCTTTCATCGAGAAGTCCCGCAGCAACAGTATGTCTCTGCTCGATACGCAGCTTTCGGCAAAACGTGCTACGATGGGAGGAAATGAAACGCTTAGGAAACTAATTAACTTTGATTATCAATTAACAAGGCATCCTGCATTGACAGGCACCAGGAAGGCGGTTGAAACTTGTTAGGAGGGGAAGATCCAGGTGGCATTTACCCAAAGGCCCGTGGCGGGCTGTGCTGCGCCTGGGGAAGCTCGTGCTGTCGCCACTTTTCTCTTCCCTCTGCGGTTGCTTTGTGATGAGGTTTTTTTTGGGGTCTTTTTTTATGTTGTTTCCTGAAGCCAGAGTCCAATGTGAATTCCCGAGTGCGAAGGGCGTGCTAGGGGGGGTTTGGGTGTAAAACCGTCCGTCACCCCATCCTCCTGCATGGGGTCACTGCTTCCCTTCGGCGAGCAGCCAGCGAGGCCGTGGGAGGCTTTCTGTTTGAAAAATAAAACATATTTCATTGCCGCTCTTTCCTGAA